AGGGCAGCAAAAAAGTGTTTTCTGGCACAAAGACAAGTTTAGAATGTAAAAAATTATTCAATTAAATCTGCTGGAAACATAATTTTCCCCCTGAGTAATATACATTTCTCCTTGTCACTTCAATAAAAAATTTTTCTCCTTTGTTTTTGCATGTGTGCATAGGCCAGGCTAACCTCTGCCCCAGTTTTAAACCTTTTGCAGTGTCAGTTTTTTTTTTTTTCAGGACTGACTGATCTTTAGTTTCACCAATCTTCCCATCAACTTTGACCAGACATCGTGGGTGTATAGTGCTTCAACTGTAGTGCATCACAGCAAGTATGGTATGCTTATGGTGAAACACATGTGAGTTTTTCACCACAAGCGACACTACATGTATGCCATGTCACCCCACTATTGCTTTTACGACCTTTTAGACAAAAAATAAAACATCTGTATCAGCTACAATCAGAGGAGTTAGGTTAGGCTTTTTAAGGAAAACTTCCAACTCCTAGTCCTCCTGTTAACAGATCCCCGACCCGAGGCAGTGGTCTCTACATTTCCTCCAGGAACACCAGCTTCATGTTTCCTGTCAGTTGTTCCTTGGTCTTCTGTTTGTTTACTGATGTTCTCCAACAAACTTCTGAACACTTCCAGGAAAAGCAATATTTATTTTGACAGGTGGACTCTACTGAGCAACCACCAGCTGGGTAAAGGAAGCTGGTTGCATTGAATTTAAGCAACTTACAAATTAATCCATCACTTCTCTTATAATTTTTAAAAAATGTGTTGGTCTGTCATATAAAATCCCAGTGAAACACATTGATGTTTGTCACAGCAACATATGAACACTTTTTCAAGTCAGTGAACACCAACACCAAGTCACCAACATGGGTCTAGCAGTACTTGCTTCCAAAAAGTGATGACTGTTGTGGGATGTGATTGGCTTATGTTGCCAGTCCTCCATCAATCATAGAGGATTTTAAAATAAGGACACCCACGTCACTGAGGAGCCAGGAGGATCAGATTTAAATTTTAAGGCTCCCACAATAACAAATCCTTAAACAAACATGTCTACTTCTTCAAAAAAAGTTTTTTTTTTTGTTTACTTTCAAAGTAAACACGAGTAATTTGAGGTTACATACCATTGAAAAGATCACAACAGTGGCTCTTGATTCAGCAAATGATGGTCAGTTTTCACGATTGATTTCGACCACAGCCATTCTTTGCTTTCATGAATAAACTCACAGCTCCTCTTGCTGTGGTCTTAATAGCTTAAAAGTTGGACAACCATTACATGAATGAGTTATGAGTGCCCACCCGAACACGTAGGCAGAAATGCTCCACACACGCTGCTTGTGGTGTGGAGAGACGATTGCTGAGTCATCGCTGCAGCCACACCAGCACTGTCGTTTCTCCTCATCTGCCCAAACAGAGCTGATGCTTCACACTGGGAGGTTTTTTTTACCCCTTTTGTTTCTGAAACACAGCCCTAATCTCCTGCACATTTTCCACAGCAGTGGACCACATGAAAGCAAAGGAGTCGCGTTCATTTTAACCCCAATAAAATGGCATAGACTCAAAATGCTAAAACAGACATGAGCAGAAATGTTAACCTATTTGGTGTATCAAAAACTGCTTTGAACAAACTAAGATTTGAAGAAAAGCTGTGTAAAAAAATAACTCCAACAAGTGCAAAATTAATTCCTTCCACATATGTCCTCAGAATAAAATACTAGTTGAGAATGTTCCAACCCTTTCACAGATTTAAGCCAAGATCATTCATCACTTCGGAGGCCTATGCCCTTTACAGGAAAATAAAACCTGCACAGCTGCAAATCACATTACTTTACATTCTGATACAACAGATCTACATAAAGACACACAAACATTTGATAGCAGTTTGCTCCATGAACAAAAAATTAAAAAATAATCTAACTTGAAATAATTAATTCCCCTTATTCTCAACATCGAAGGGAAAAAAAAAATTGTATGCCGTCTGACCTGCCTATCAAATCAGTTCTTTCAAACTCAGACACTTGCAAACTGACAAATGTTTGATAAAACATAAGTAGACTTAGTAGAGAGTGATGCGGATGTGAGCAAGACAGACAAATGTGGCAGATAAACCCTTGATGTCTGCAGCCAGACAGACAATGGTTTTAGGTATCACTGATGACCAATCTGAAATGTAAATGAAACAGAAATATCAAGTTTATTGTCTGAACAAGACAGCCAGCACTGGCTGATTCAGATCAGAAGAAAAGCACACTGAAAGGTGAAACTGCCTTTTATCTCTGTGGCAGCTGCCAGCAGGCATTTGACCTGTTAATGCATCACATTACTTCTAAAGATGTGTGAATTCAAAAAGGACCTTGAAAGAAAAAAAAAAAAAAGGTTGTTGGTGTTAATATTTCAGTTACAAGGGATATTTAGTTTCTAAGATAAAACTAAATATGATAATTATTGTGTTTTCAAGCTTAATTCTTTTCTGAAAATGTTGACATCAAATTTGCAAATTAAAATCAGGATTCTTTTAAAACATCTATTTTGTAATAAGATGTGACAAAGTGGGAATTGCATAAATACTAGCGAGCAGTTTACTGTGGAAACATCTAGAAAGAGAAGCCTTTTCTTAAATAATAATAAAAACTAACAATAATAATTGTTTCCAAGAGATGGAACCAGTATGACCTAAATTTCCCCCTTGAGGCACAATAAAGGTTATTTCCATTTCTAATTCTATGAACGCAAGATTACACAAATCAAAAATTTATATAAAAAAAAAAAAAAAAAAAAAAAAACTTAATGAGAAGGAGGAAGCAGTGCAAGTTTGAATGACATTCAAGAAAACTCATTTCAACTGAACAATTGTTTTGGTGGAGGCAGTGGAACATGGCTTGGAGGTGACTGGTGACAATATAGAGAAGCATGTATAGTAATATTTAGTTAAAATCACTTTTCAGTACATGTTTCAAGTCCATGATATGACTCCTTAATATTGATGAAAAAAATAATATTTTCATTGACAGATTATTTCATTTGCAGCATTTACATTTTTCTCATGTCATAAATGAAATAATTTGGCTATGGACTTAGGACTTTATCATCAATATCATTAACCTAAAACAAGCTCTTATATCTTGCTGAAACATTACTTATAAACATTGTTTTGTTTCATTTCAAGTGTACTATTTGCACTAGAAACTAGTCGGAATACTTGGTAAGATTTTGTTATTTTGTAGTTTAGTACGATAAAATTAGCAAATTAATTGCTGGGTTTTTACAAAACATTTGTTTATCTTGGTTTGTTTGGTAAAATTTTAGTCAAAACGAAAATAAATTTTATTCAACTGCACCACTGTTGTCCTCATTTACATGCAAGAGCAAAAACAAAACATAGAAGAAAACATATAAGGGACTCTAGTCTAAACATTAAGAAACAGGCAAAATAATGTTAAAGCATATTAGGAAAACAACAACAAAAAAAGAAACTCTATAAATTGTAACACTCAAGGACTTTGGAATTGTGTTTAAATCCCAAAATCTAGAAAGCTTTTGTTGCAAAAGAAGGCTAGAATCAAATCGCACAGGTGGACATTAACTCATGTCAAAGTGGTTTTATTGTATTAACATAAGAGTGAGGATTACTACCAACAATGTGACTTGTTTACCTTTGACTAGGCTAAAGAATTTGGCAGGGCCTCTTGCACTCACTCACTAGGCAATGTTTAAAAATCACAGCTGGAAAAGGGTTTAGAGAGGGCAGGCCAAAAGTTCTCGCAGCAAAAATGAAAGATTTAAAAAAAAAAGCCCTCCAAATGCTTCTACTAAATAAAACTTCTGACTTTTACTTAAAAATGTGAAACCCGCATCAGTTAAATGGAAACAAGGTATGTACCCCTCTGAATTTTTATTCCTGAAGTAAATTAACAGTCATAATCCTGAACTAACACTAAAGTTTTATGCTTTTCCATGTTCCGCCCTGCTTTTATTTCCTTATGTTTCTGTGCCAGACATCATTCTTGGCTTCTTGAAAGCAGATAGCATCTGGAGCAGAAAGGAGGCCATTCAGATTATTTGTGTTCAGCAGTGCTGGGGAATCTTTTACGCTTTAAATGAAGATAAGGCGCTCAACCAAGAGTCCCTTTGGCCGGCTGACAAACAAAAGGAGGAGTGATAATAAGATTCTGGGCCTGAGGTGTCGACTGCAGGGAGAATATTTGTTTCACGAGGAGAGGCTGACCAAGCGTGCCTGTCCCAACTTCCAGCAAAGCAGAGAGCAGAGTCCTGGTTTGTTTCATAATAAAACCTGCCTTTTATTTGAAGAAAGGTCAACCTCAAGTCAGAGTCATCAGCACCAGCCGTATGATTACGAGCAGATGACAAGAGCGCTGGCTTCCTTAGGAAAGACCAAGTTGATATGAAAAGTGAGGTAAATCATTAAAAAATGATTTACCTCACCTCACTCCCCTGCTTTGTGTGTGTGATGTTGAGATGGTGCTGTAAGTGTCACCAGATGCACTGTAAAATTTCCAGAGTAAATTTTACACAATTTGAAAAAAATTTTACTCTAAAAAAGACAACATTTGGTCCCAGTCTAAATAGAGTAAAATTTACTCTCATGGAAGAGTTGAAATTACAGATTAAAATCAACACAATTTAGTGCAAAAATTTTAATCAATGCCAAGAGAATTTACTCCAAGTTGTTTAAAAGAAAAAATACTCTACCGTATTTTAACTCCAAGTAGAATATAATTTACTCCAAAAAGCATTGCATTCTATTCTAAGTAGAGATAAATTTTAATCTAATTAAAAATGAATTTTACATAAAATAGAATAACATTTTATTCCATATAGTATAAAATTTTAGTCCTAATTTCATTTTATTCCATATTGTGCAGTTAAACATTTAATTAAATTCTAAAGTAGTACCAAATGTAAATGTAATTTCACTGACGAAGCAATTGTTTTACAGCTATAACACACAGCTGTTTGTAAGAGTACAATGCATAGACCAGAAATCAGAATTTGGACAGCCATTTTTTATTGTTCACAGAAAACAGCATGGAACAATTTAAACATTTGCGTCTTCATGACTGTATGACACCTCGAAATGAAAAGCTCTGGAACAGTAAAGCTCTTCTACATAAATAACATGAGGTCCGTCTCTTGTACACATTGACCAGATCATGATCAAATGAAGTGCCAAACATAAAGTGAGCTTTAAAAAGCTCATCAAATCACGCTCCTCTGAGTCCTTACTGCAAGCAGGTATGGTTGACAGCTCTCTGCGATGCCTTCAAGGTGCTCCTTGATGCTGGTTCTTGTCTGTGGCAAAAACAGAATAAAACATTATTAGTCTTAGGTTTCAAAGAAGACAGGGTTCTAATAGATAAGGCAAATTACTTTTCAGGATATCTTAAATGTCACTTGAAATGAAATTGAAGACCAATTTCATAAATGTTTCCTTTACTCTAACCTTACCTTGACAAACTTCACAAGATGTTCACTGGCTTGTCTGGCTGAGAGTTTTCCTGGTCTCTTGTATCCAGGAGGTGACTGTGGCAGGAGGCACACCAGGATCAAAATGGATGACATGTCACTGTCCCATCCTAGAAGAAAAAGTTAAAGAAACATGTTACCAAAACTTCTTATTTGCAACCATGTTAATACTTCTAGAGAAAGCTTACCAAATCTAACTAACAGCAGGAGGAGGTGCACTTATATTGAACCAATTCAAATAAAATTCTGTTACATAAAACACTTTCTTTATAAGTAATTGCAACTTACCATTTCCACTTCTGTTGTGCCTTCAGCATTGTAAAGAAGGTTCTGAAGGTCATCAGACTGTGTGAGACTCCGGCTTTGTTTGAGGACTTTATGCTTGTAGACAGTGGGCCACTTCTCAGGGACTTTGCAGAGATGGCTTCCCCAAACATCAACATAAAATCTTGCTCAACCTGGAGAATAGATGAAGTGAAGGTTTTAAAAATCATTTTGTTAAGTTTTCTTATTTAAACTTTGTTGGTTAAACTGAAGTGAAAATAAACATACCAATCCTCCTATGTCCAGGAATCTTGGGAAGTCCAAAAAGATACTAGATGACTTTGCTGGGTCATGAATCATCTTCTGACGAGAGTTGAAAGTCTGTTTCATGTTCCTCATAACAGTCTCTTCATCAGCTGTGTGCTTCATCAGTGATTGCACTGATGAAGCACACAGCTGATGAAGAGACTGTTATGAACACAAGCGATCTGTCAGAAGATAGTCTTCTTCTCTCAAACAGTCTCTCTTATCAGTTGTTGGTCCCCCTAAAAAAACATATATATGTGAGACTCCATGTTAGGATTCATAAATAACGCTTGGGAACTTATTGTGCAGTTTGGTTGCAGGATGAAATGTGTACAAATATAAATCCATATACCTGTTTGGGTTTGTGACAGTCTGGGGACATTTTTTTGTCCATTAGAAGCTTCCCTCTGTACAAACTTCAGTCTCCAAGCCAAATACCCACTTCCATCTTCTGCATTGTAATAATGCTCCTAAAAGTAGGTGAATGACAAATGTTTTTAAAGTTGTCAAAACAAAGACAACCGTGACAACTTACACAATTTGCATATAAAGCACAACTTGAATTCTGTTTTTTTTTTATTTTATCGTTGCTCTACGAGCTGCAACCCTAGGATTCACTAAAATAATACTATGCTAGTAATTTCAAGAGCAGTTACTAGCATAGCCTTCTCGCGCTTTTTTCTGGGCGGAATACTGACTCCACATGCTAGCAGAGCTAGCTCCGACAGTACAGCTCAGTCTCTCAGCTTAAAAATAGCGACAGCCTCGACTTGTGAAAATATAATAATGGACGAAGCATTGTACAGCACTGATGTTTTTCTGCTTACATTGCTGTAAACTGCTAAATTAAGATAGCTGAAGTACACATGCTAACTAGTTAGCCAACCATGTTAATTCCTCGCTGCATCCCTCCTTCCCCCACAACCATACAGCAGCACCTTATCACACCTTTAGTCTTAATAATATATATATATATATATATATATATATATATATATATATATATATATATATATATATATATATATAAAAAACCCGTTTGGGGACTTACCTGGCACATAGCTAACCGTCGCCTCCGTTTCCACTGCGGGATGACAAGATGGCGGAAGAAACGAAACTTAAGGAACTTCAGTGGGCGTGGTCTTGTTTTACTCCGATATAATTTCCTCTATTTTTTACTCCGATTCTATTGACCAACTGAAATGATTTCACTCTCTAATGTATAAATTTGACTCTTTTTGATGAAAATAATGTTAACTCCGAAAAAATTACTCTCCTATTTTTACTGTGTGGCCACAAAAGCATAAGTGTGTGTGTTCTGTGGTGCATTCCATCCTGCGTTACTCAGACAGCCTGACCCATGCTGTGCAGACAAGTCATCCAAGTCCACTGCATACACTCACTCTCACGTGCAGCTCGCCTTTAAAGCCTCCGTTTGCAATAACAGTCCATCTTGATCGCGTTACATGCCCAGGCAGGGTGCTGCAAGCCCACAAAACCTACTGTACTTCAACTTAACATCTGCACTTCATCCTTTTACAGGAGTCACTCCTCAGGTCTGGGAATCAGTCACAGTTCAAAGTTCTGGCCACCTGAGCTTGGTCACGACTTAAAAACATCTAACCTTTGTTGAATCAGAAAGCCGAGCGGGGACAGTCCCACCCAGCATGCCACACCGGGGGGGAAAACCAACAAAACCATGACAGCAAATAAGAGGGGAGGCTTGTGAGGCGGAGCCTCTGGTTGTGTGTGAGCAAAAAAAAATAAAAAAAAAATGAGGAGGGGGTATCAGGGTCAGAAGGTGGATCATAGGAAGCAGAGGGGGAGGTGCTGAGTTTTAATTTTATTTTTTTTAAATCCCAAGCAAACAAACACTATTTTTACCTCAAAGGACACAAATGAGTTTCTTACATAAATGTATACAGAAGATATTATTTGAGTGAGTTATTCACTTACTACTTTTAACACCAAATATAAATAAAACTATTAGGCATTCATAATTTCTATGATATAAAACAATGGCATTTATGAGATGAAAAGTTATTAGGGCTAGAAGGATTAATTGTGTTGAATCAATTATTGAAGTAATCGTCATCCAATTTAGTAACTAATTTATCATTAACTGGAGAAGACTCAAAAAAGTCAAATGCTGAAAGAACATCTTAAATCAGTAATTAAGTCACAAGTATCCCAAAATATATACATTTTGCATTGAGGAATAAAATTTGCATTTCATGATACAAATTCTGTTAAAAAAAAAAAGACTTTTTAATCACCTTTTGTATTCAATTATAAATTGATGGCGAGGTAAGTCTTATACTGAAGCAGAAAGGTTTGAGCTTTTCACATGTTGATGCCAGAAGTACTTTTTCACTGCAGATATGTCCTTTGCTAAAAATGATCAAGTGTTCATTAAAGAAAAGCTGTTATTACATTTTAGGTGAAAATGTTATTTATAACTGCAAAAGTCTGCAGAATGTGCCTTTTTTTAATCTGATTAATCGATAACTAAATCATTTTTAGTTGCAGCCCTAAAAGCTCCATCAGAAAAGTGATGCTTTCATGTGAATATTCATATTCTTACTTCTTAAAAGCTTCTGCTGGGTTCCTCTCACACTCCCCAGGCTGCAGGGTGCTCTGCACAGCCGGGTCGCAGACCTTTTCCTCGTAACCCGGCACCAGCCCGCCTCGGCATATCTGGGCCACCAGACCCCGGATGAATCCACCGACACACAGCGTGTCCGAGTCATCGGCCCGGCAGAAGTGGAAAGCCAGGCTCTGCTTGTGCAGACTGCGGTACGTTCCCTGGGCTGATGTGGGCCACAGCAGCTCCGTGCACAGCGCAGTTTTCCCACTCCCAGGTCCTCCCACCAGTAACACCCCCCAGGAGCTACCGGACTTGGCCGATCCGGTCGTGATACTGCCGGGGACGGGCACGCCCCCACCGGGAACAGGCAGGGGCTGCTTGCTGGGAGTGCTGCTCACTCCGCTCAGGTTGTTGGTTTTCTCCTGCAGGCAGTGCTGGATCTTGTGGAAGACCCACTCTCGGCAGTAAAAGCGTTTTCCCTGCAGCAAACTGGTTTGGGCCATTTTGAACTGATGCTGCCGTTCCGCCTCTTCCTCCTGCTCATATGGGTCCCTTTATTTTCCCCCATGCATTTTTAATTTAAACAGAAGGCGGCTGTAAATCTGAACATCCATTTTCTCAGCTGTAAATGTTCCCCTACAATCTCAATGTTGGTGCAACTTAGAGTAGAAGTGGAAGAGAATAAAGGAGCTTTTCTTCAGATGGCTACTGTGTGTTACAGGGAATCTAGGTCAAAATAATAATAATAATAAAAAAAACAAGACTGACATTGGGACTCAAACTGTAGATTTTCCACCAACTTTTTCCACAGCTTTCCCACCGGTTGAACTGAGCGCTCCTTGTTATTGTCCATGTGTTGTCTTAGCATGGCGCTGGGCCGGGAAGGGCAGGGCACCCGACTCTTGAGAGGCAAAGCCAAGCCAGCACCACTTCATATGATTAGCCATGGGGGTTCCTCATATATTTCCACTGATGCATTTCAGACGCTGCTGACCAGGAGCACGTTTCCATTACATTAACATGGATGAGGCTGCCAGTGCAAAGTCACTCTCTCCAATAACATGTTGAATCCCTGGAAAAAAGGGGAAAGAGTATCCAGATTAAATCCAAAGTGCAACTTTGCTGCATCTAAAACTCACAAGTAGACATGAGCTGGTTGCAAGTATCAAGACATACAAATGCCTTTTACAGTACAGTTCTAAAATAGCTAAAAATGTTATAAAGTTTCTATGCTTTAAAATAATTTATAACAAGATGCCAAAGGAATTAGTTCTTGTAGCTGTGTGGAGCATAGAATGATGAATAAGTCTGCCACTGTAAGCAATAAACTGCAAAATAAATGAACACAATAACAACAATTTTCTTTTGCATTATTGTTTGTTTATCTTACGTATCTCTTTTCCTTCCATAGACTGGACAAGTGTATTGGTCTTTTTTTTTACAGGGTGTAAAAAAAACAAGATAATGGCACTGTCCATGATTTCTATTAAAGTTAATGCTTTACATCTGATGAACCGAAACAGACATGGCACGTGTAGCTTAACTAACCTGCTCAGATTTGTTTATTACACTCTACTCGAAGCACAGCAGTAAAATAGAATTAAACTCTTGTCAATAGGCACTAAGAAACAAAACAATTTTGGTCTGCACAGCAGAAAATATAATTATAATCCTAATCAATTATTTTTGTTGATAAAATCATGAAGCTGTTCTTTTCAAGGTTCTTATACTTCATTTCATAACTCAGACATGTCATAGAAAAACACAAATAGGATAATTATCCCTTTACAAACACATGAAAACTACAGCAGATTATTTCCAGCCTGTACATAAACGTGGACTCCTCTTACACCCACATAAGGTAGGCAAGCTGGTTTTTCTATGCTTTCATCCTACACAACCCACATCACTGCCTGCCTGCCTTGCAACTAAATTCTTGGTAGGGTTTTTCTTTTTTTGTCCAGTTTCTCCAGTCTCTCCACTGATCCTGTCTTCCTTTCTATGTGGCTTTAAATCCCAAACAGTCCACATCCGTCTTGACATGAGAGGGGGGAAAAGTCCCCATTTCCCTGCACGTAGACAGTGGAAATGAAGGGTTCTTCAGCATTAAAATGTTTTTAAGGCAATACTCAGCGAAAGCGGATCAGAAATTGATATATTTCAGTCTCGTATCAGTTTAGCTGCACGCTGCAGGAACATGAACACGCACAGCCTTCCAGGTTACTTTGTAAGGTTGCCAGATAACTAGACTCTGATACATTTCCACCTTTCTGCTTCTGTGGGGCGCTGAAAGCCTCCAACAAACAATACATCCCTCAATAAAGGCTGAGAATTTCACGGGTCAGCTTTTTTAACGGGAAACAAGCTTTGAACATTTATTTTAGCAAAGCGGCACGAATTCAGAGCACTAACTGAGGAGGCTGCAGAAGTCTTTTGTATGGCCAGAGAAACCTCACCCTGTTTTGGAAAGAGAGACTTTTACCTATGGGGCTTTTAAAATCCCAAGAATAGATTTGCTAACAACTGAATGCATTTAGGGCGACATCTGAATGTTAAATGTAGCTTAGCTTGTCGATGCATTCAACAGCGACTGTTCCTTCAACTCCAACTGAACCAATTGTGGAGCGTTTAGCTATTTTTCGTCTCAGTTTACCGTCTGTACCGAACCACAAACGGGTTTCCTCTCACCTCTCTCAATATCCTCTCTCTATTTTCGGGCTGCGGAGCTTCCTGCGTAGATTTCCTGTAAATCCGCGTTCAAACCAAACGTTGAAATAAACAATTACCCTTTTCTTCCCGTCGCTGGTGTTCAGCATCAGGGTATCACTCGGGTTCTTTCTTTGAATCGGTCTTTTCTGTCGGTGGTCGGCTCCTCCTGCTGTCCAACACAGCTCCACAGCGAGCTGACTGATTCTCCGCCTCCGACCACTCCACATAAATTCAGTGCGCGCACACGCCAACACTCTCCCGCAAAGACCCATGGGATTTGAAGTCTTATCTTCCTTCACCAGAAGTGGATTTTATTCAGGGCTAAAAATAGGAAAAATAACTGGATAACTGGAAAAGCATTAGCAAAATGGGGTACACTATCTATCTATCTATCTATCTATCTATCTATCTATCTATCTATCTATCTATCTATCTATCTATCTACTATCTATCTATCTATCTATCTATCTATCTATCTATCTATCTATCTATCTATCTATCTATCTATCTATCTATCTATCTATCTATCTATCTATCTATCTATCTATCTATCTATCTATCTATCTATCTATCTATCTATCTATCTATCTATCTATCTATCTATCTATCTATCTATCTATCTATCTATCTATCTATCTATCTATCTATCTATCTATCTATCTATCTATCTATCTATCTATCTATCTATCTATCTATCTATCTATCTATCTATCTATCTATCTATCTATCTATCTATCTATCTATCTATCTATCCATCCATCCATCCATCCATCCATCCATCCATCCATCCATCCATCCATCCATCCATCCATCCATCCATCCATCTATCTATCTATATCTATTATTCTTTCATTCAAAATATACATCTAAAAAATTTAGTTGCACAATCTGAAATCTGAAATGTTATATTAACAGTAATTAATTATAATATTAATTACAGTAATAGGAACAGTACAATTTTTTTATTAGATAAAACTTTATGTGATCCTATTTCAAGATAAACATTACTCTATAAAATAGTTTTTTCTTTTCTTATTTGCTATCTTTTTGATGATCAAATCAGTTTTCATCTCTAGAGTCATGAAACAATTAAGTATTTTAGCTCACAGAGCCAACACGATAGTAAAGTCTGAGATGAGAACTTCTTCCTTAAGCCAAAAAACTGAAAATGGGTCGATAAGGTGCCTCCATGTCGACCTTATCAAATGTTTTTGTGAATTTAAAATCATCCCTGTCTCTGAATTGCTATTTTTAAAGTTTGTTTGGATGTTTTGAGCCTTATGATGGCATGGAAACTTATGGGAAACTGATGGAACACTCAGGCCTCATTGGAAACAAATCTGGTTTAAATGTGAAGCATAAAACAACTTGATGGGACCCAGAAACTTACATGAATCATAGCAGCAACATCCAAATGACTGTCAGGTGAAAAGTTAGAAAATTGAGCTGTTGTATTTGGATAAAGTTCAAAGGAGATCCACTCTGATAACTGCAGATCTTCATGTCACTCCGTGGTATTCCTAAATACGTCTGAACATGCATGACATGAAACCCACTTCAGTCTCTTTATTCTTCACTGGTGTCATGTTTCTCCCACCTTAACTTGACCTTTTTGCTTACCCCATTGTTCTCTCTCAGCACAACCTCAGCCTTTTTCCCAAAGCAATTCGATGTGTAATGCTGAACCATGAAATTGGGCTCCTACAGGAAATCAGATCTGAAGTGGAACCTGTCTTCAGTACCAGATTGAATTATCTCTGTGAGCACAGTCAGCATCAGCCGGAAACATACCGCCGGTTATTACAACCTACGGCTGTAGCGCCTTAAAGTTACATCCCCTGAGAAACTTCTTCAAAAAGTGCTCAACAAGATGTAAGATCAGCAGCTTCGGATTAGATCAAAAAACATCAGCCTGAAAAGCCTCAGGTTCAGTCGAAAAGGTATAAACTTTGACAGACACATTCCTGCTCTAAGTTTTTTACAGTTTTTATTTGGAATGGGACTCATGTTGCAAAGTTAATTCAGCTGAAGCAGTAAACCACTGTTTTGAAGCATTACCAAATCTCTCTTGTGTTTAAGAAAGGCAGCAAACATATTCATTACATAAGAGGATGTAACCAAGATTGTACGTCATAAAAACTAATAAATTGGACATAATGAGAATCCAGAGTCTCCTATGGCAACATCTATGTCGTTTTTTATGTTGTTCTGTCTTTGGGGATTATTTGACATTGACAGCAAAAAGAAAGAAGAAGAAATCCTTGAAAATTAATTTAAAAGTAAATTTCCAAAACACACACACCAGGCATCTCACCATCAATGACAACATCTGGTGTGTCATCTGTGAGGTGTGATGCACATCACAATTTGTGGCTTAAACTTTAAGAGGACCACCTGGGATGGTTTTTATCTCCTTTTAAAATTTGGTACATTAATTTTTAGTGGTACAATAAACATACACACAAGCAGCTGCTGTGATGTAATTTAGATAGAAAAGTATCCAGAGACACATCTAAAACAAAAAAAACATCTGCAAACAAAGTCAGAATTCAGTTCATAGTTGTTTGGTAATCTCTTGACCAAACAAAGTGCGAAGGGGAAATGTTTTTAAACTCTATCATAAAGGCTTAAACTTCCCCAGATAAACTACACCCATGAACTTAGTGCTGACAGCAAAAGAAACTTTAATGTGATTACAAAGATAAACCTCAGTGTGTTTTGGACGGATTTTATGTGTTTGCACAATCTGGTAATAGCTTAGCTAATTTTTTGTTCAATGCTTTTACAAACTTTGAAAACATTTAGCAGTCTTAGCTCCCCCAAATTAATTTTACCAGACCATTTCTAGTTGGCTGTTTTATAAACTTTGAGGAGAATATCTTAGTTGGTCTATCATCTTTCCATGTTCAGATGGTGGACTAAACAGAGCTCTATCAACTGTTTTATAACCAAACCAACCCTGTTTTATCAACTTGTCTGCTGTGTTACTTGGTTTTTGTTAAGCTGATTGTTCACTTTTTGTTTTTCAAACAAACTTCTGAGTCCTTCATGTATTTATATTGATTCTAATACTAATCTTTAGATTTTTTTTTTTAAAATAATGTAAAGTATTGTCCTTCTTTTCCACAATAAAACACTACTGCTTGTTGGTTTATCATATAAAATTCTAACATATCTCACTGATGTCTGTAAGAAATTAAAGTATAAAAAGGTTCACAGAATGTGAATACTTTCAAGGAACAATGATGATTGCAAGCTGCTGTGGCTTTAATTTGCACATAGTTTCCATTTTTAAATAGCAGCATACATGACTCATCACTGGAGCAACAACAATATAGCAACAATATTAAAATCAAAGAACAAAACCACTTCAGTAATTGTCTCCAGGATTGCTTGCCTCACAGCAAAAGAACAATAAGCATATCATAAACAACCCCATGACTTTCAAAGCAGTAATTCATGAATGTTTGAAATGGTGATTTAACTATTCTAGCTTCCTGTAGCAGCTAGCAATGCAACCATGTCAAAATTACAAGTACATATATTTCCACTTCTGTTCTTAGCCATTTGTAACAGTTGATGCTTGATAAGAAAAAAAGGCCTCCCACTAAACCCAGACATGAGTTCAATTGTGAAAAAAACTATAAGTAAGAGGGGAGTTTGACTGATAGTTCTTTGTGGTAATGACTCATCTTACAATTAGCTTGTGCAGCTTTGTTGGCAGAGGAAGATATTCCACAAGACGTCTTTCTACAAGCCTGTTTCCAGCATTCCAAATGTGCTAAGATGCTACAAGGAAAAGATTAATCAAACTAAAAACATCTAACAGCAAGAAGTTACTTTAGAAAAAAGGACAAATGCAAAACATCAAAATCTGGTTTGTATTTGTTTGAATTGAATGTTTAGTTCAGAAAAGGACCTCCAGAAACTAAGTTGGAATAAAGGTAATCACTATAGCAACAAAGTAACATGAGCATAAAGCAAAGCAGCAGGAAGGTCACTTCCCAAAGGAGCTCTAGCTTGTAGCTCAAGGTCGATGAAAGGAGGTGAATACTTTTTAACAATACTGTATCTCCAGAATTTCTTAAAGGCTTTAAGTGTTCAGCCTGTTCAAAAACATAATTTTTTTATTGATTGCAATCAAGGAAAATTTCAAAGATACGATTTTAAAAACTACAAATAGGTGTTTTCATTCAGCAAGGTCATTTCTGTAACTTTGGCACAGGCCTACAACAGATGGAAGATGCGTCTGTCAGGTCTTGGCTGCAAAGGAATAGATGAGATGTTTTGAAGCGGAGTTATGCTAATAGGTTATCGGCAGTAAATAACTAACGCTAAAATAGTTTGTACAAAGGAAACATGATGGATATAAAGTGGAAAAAAGATATTAAAAATGAAGCTGATGCAGAGGAGGCATGTGGATATACAGAAGGTTATACATACAGAGGAGGAGGCTACGGAAAGGGGAAGATGGAGGCAGACGAACCAAGACTCCTGAGAGGAGCAGCCATGAGAATAAGAAGAATTGCCAACTTGCTTTACTGGTTTATTTTTGGTGTTGGAGCTGTTTTGTGTTTAGGCGTTGTAAGAAGTTTCTCAACCTACAAAAACATGCTTCTGACAATGAAAAACACATTTACAAAACAGCTGTAATGGAGAAGAATGTAACCCAACAGCAAGCAAGCTCGTCTTATGTTTACCAGCTGTACCAGTTTAGATGTGTAACCTGCTGGTGAGCAGGAAATGTCAAAGTGTCCCTGGTGGATTTGGGGAAGACTTAAACTAATCCATATATTGACCTGCTTTCCAGAAAAAAACATAAGTACTGATTTACTATACATGGTTGGATGCCCATCAGCGAATAAACAAGAGGAAGAAAAATGGAGCTGTTTATTTGACACCACAGGATGTGTAATTTTATATAACACTGCTCAAAAAATTATTCTCACCTTCCATTAACTAATGAATGACCTCGTTCAGCAAAGGTCAACAACCACAGCAGGTTATTGAAATCTTCAAACAAATGTGATTATTTTGGTTGGACCAGAAATAGTGGTCTTTGAGACAAGTTTGAGATTTGGCTCCCAGCACAGTGCCTTACAGCGCTAACAGCATATTTTTAGGCCACATTATGCACACAGACTTCTTGTGCTAACTCTCTGAGAGTCCTCAGTGAAATGCTCTCC